AGCAACCACCCTGAACAATGACAAATATCCATAACCTATTGAATGATCAAAAACCACCCACCCCACCTCTTGGGAATGTGGGTATTGTGTTCTTAAAATTACTTCCTGCTGTCTGGTGGCAACAACATTTTTTTTGTTTTGTTTTTCGAGACAGGGTTTCTCTGTGGCTTTGGAGGCTGTCCTGGAACTCACTCTGTAGACCAGGCTGGCCTCGAACTCACAGAGATCCGCCTGCCTCTGCCTCCCGAGTGCTGGGATTAAAGGCGTGCGCCACCAACGCCCAGCCAGCAACAACATCTTTAGAGGATCCAGAAGGGAAAAATTTTTTGGGTTAATTGTCAACTTCTGCGAGAGAAGGCCGTGTCTTTTGTTATCCAATCTCTGCCTAATGCGAAGGTGCAGGGCTTGTCTCAAGTCCTGGCTAGAGTAGTCTGTGAGGCTGGATCATCTCAGCTAGCCATCTTGAAATTGTACTGAGCAGTTTGTAGTCCAAAGCCGATCTTTAGGTGGTGTTTTCTAACTTAGTGGTGTTAAACAGAGTCCTGGTAAAAATCATCTCTATGGGGCACCCATCCTTTTTGGAGACTTTAAAGGTCACTATTAGACTTGGTCATGATTTACTGCAGAAAACTTAAAACATTTTAAATGTCATATGCAGCAAATCTCAAAGAAGTTAAAGGACCAATATTTGTTACGGACATCCAGAGTACAAAAACTTAATTTGTATAAACCCAGAGTTCCTGTGGTAGAACTTTCCATTGATACCTCATAACAGGCTGAGAATTATTATAAGTAGGCACTATGAAGGCAAATTTTTCTCTGTCTTTTTCTTGTAAAGTTATACTAAAGAAACAATCTTTTAAATCAATAATTATAAGAGGCTGTGGTTTACATAATAAAGAAGGTAAAGGAATTCCAGAATGTAGAGAGCTCATTGGCTGAATCATCTTATTAACAGCTCTTAGATCTGTTTCCAATATCCATTTCTTTTTTATAACAAATACAGGGTAATTCCAAGGGCTGATTGATTCTTCAATATTCTGAGCATTTAGCCGCTTCTATACCAGCCTAAGTTCTAATTGGTCTTAATAATAAAAACCTGGAGTCAGATCTGGGGTAAATGCTGAAAGATGAGAGACAAAGGAGCAAGCCACAGCCACACCTTACCTCAACAACTTCTCAGATGAAAAGAGAGTGAGCTCCTGTCTCCTCCCACTTTATATTCCTCTCTCCACCCAGCCATAACACTTCCTGTCTGTCTGTACAGACCACCAGATCTCTATGGTTAACTAGTGGCTAGCTCTGCCCTCTGATCTTCAGGCAAGCTTTATTTGTTAGACTACAAACAAGATGTCACCACAATCTCCATTCTCCAGATGAGAAAGAACGTTCTAATGATGCTGGAACGATGGGAGCCTGGTTCTGGGTCTTGCTGCTCCTTCACTTTCTTCATGTGATCTACCGTCTGCTGTCCTGTGGCTTTGCAGACCCTAAGACTCATCCCAACAGCAAAGCTTATAGTGCTTTGTCTGAGCACTGTAAAGAGATGGTTCATACAAGACCATGTAACAGGGTAGTCCCATGCCTGTTGAAACAGTTGTTATCAAAAAGGAAAGAGAAGCTAGGAATTTACCACAGTGTTAGAGTCCTTGCCTAACAGCCTCTAGGCCCTGATTGGATCAACAATCTGGGGGGAAAAAGACAAAAAATAAGAAGTGTTGTGGGGGGAAAAGGTAACTCATAGATGTCATGGATGGAAATGTAAATTGATACACATACTACTGAAACAATAAAAATAGAACCACTGTATTATTCAGAATCTAATTGCTGGGTATATAGCTAAAGGAAAGAAAATCTGTATACTGACTGGGTGGTGGTGGCACATGCCTTCAATCCTCGCTCTCTGGAGGCAGAGGCAGGTGGATCTCTATGAGTTCAAAGCCAGCCTGGTCTACAGAGTGAGTTCCAGGACAGCCTTGACTGTTATACAGAGAAACCTATCTTAAAAAATTAAAACAACAAAAAACAGAAATCGGTATGTCGAAGAACTTGTTCATCACAGGAGTGTTTATAATACCCATGAAAGAAACAGCTTCACTGTCCATTAGTGTTTGGCAAACAAAACGTGGCGCATACCTCACACACACACACCTACTCACATACATCAAAAAAATTAAGGGAAAGGGGGTGTTAAGGAGGAATCGGGCCAACTTACAGGTCATGCTGGCACCAGCAGAGATTTGGGGGGAGGATGGATGTGGCAAGGGCACTGGCCATCCACGCCACAACTCTGATGGCCACGCTACTACTTGTTAGGAAGCTACCATATAGCAAACATGAAATAAAATAGTGCTCTTAAGATCATAACTGCAAGGCAGGTATGACTAAACTTGCTTTATAGAGAAGGAAAAAGAACTGAGAAGAATTTTAAAAACATACCTGAGGCTGTGTGTTGAGTAAATGTCAGACTCAGTGCATCTGCCCCAGGTCCTCCAGCAAGTCTATGCCCGGGTTCCTCATGCTGGACACGTTTCTAATTGTCAAGCACAGTTACCTGGACCCCTTTTGACCCAAAAAACTTGTGAGGGGCATGTGCACATGCGTGTGGGAGCCAGAGGTTGATATATGATGTCTTTCTCATCACTCCGTTTTGTGGTTCGACACGGGGCTTCTCGCTCAACCTGGAGCTCTCCATTGGCTGGCCGACCACCAAGTCTCTTCCAGGGTCCACTGTCCCCACATGCCAGTGTGGGGTTGCAGACTCATGCTGCCGTGGCCACTTTAACCTGGGTGCTGGGGGTCTCAGCTATTCCTGCACTTGTGCAGCAAGCACGTCACCCACTGAGCTACCCAGCTCCCAAGCCCCTGCTGTCTCATACTCTTGGGTTTGAAGACTCCACCCCTGGAATTGACCTACCTTAGCCTTGTCACAGGTTTTCCAGGGTTAAATCTCCCTTAACTATTTTGAGCTAAAACAAACACCAGAAGAACAGGCCAGGCGTTTTTCACACTAACTGCTATGTAGTCCATTGCTCTGTGCATCTGATGGTTTTATTATACTTCATTCTTAACCTTTTCCCGAGAGATTTATTTTGAAAATTTCTATCAAAATAATAATCTAAGCAGTGGTCATCGACTGACCAAATCAATAAAGAGCTACAATGTTAACAGTCTAAGCCTGTAAGTGGGAATTTAGCCAAAAGCTACTAGCACTAACATCCCAGAAGGGGGCAGTGTTCCTCCACTATGCATTTCCTTTATGGCTACTGAGGAGAAAGTAGGAAGCTTCAAAAAGGAAACCCTGTGTCTTGGTGTGGGGACAGGGTTACCATAATACTCTAAAAATAATTCTGGAAACAAGGACAGACAGGAACAAAAACTAGGTACAAAGTATCATTTGTCACGCAGAAGTGGACGCAAAAGAATTGTCAACAAGACCCCTGGTTGCGGGGGAGTCACACTCTAGTTGAGGAAATGGCCACCTGCACAAGCAGTGTCAGGCAGCTGACGGGACCTTTCATCCACACATGCAACAGTTTCATCCTATCCACCCAGCACCACCCGAGTGACCTACTCCTTCCCCCCTTTCGATTTTCTTCCATCTAAAGTGTTATGTGTGCACAAGTGTTTAGCTTGTGTGTGTCTGTGCACTGCGTGCAAGCAGTGTCCATAGAGGCCAGAGGAAGGTGACAGGTCCCTTGGAACAGTGAGCTGCCATGCGGGTGCCGAGAGCCCAATGCTTACCCTCTAGAAGAGCAGCCAGTGGTCTTACTACTAAGCTATCTCTACAGCACCCCCACCGTCCGCCCGGCTGCCACCGTCCCCTCACTACAGCCTCATCCACACACTCAGTCTCAAGGGGCCAGTCTGGAGCACTCTAATGGCATTTCCAGCAAACCCATCTTCACCCTTACTCTCATCCTCCCCGAGCCGGTGCTTCTTTCCGGTGGCAATTCTCATCTTCTAGTTAAGTTGCTATCTTCATTTGTAACGTTGTCTGTTGCCGGCAGCATCTACGCTGCATGGAGGCTGATTCTTGTCTGCTGTGTTCACCGCCACCCCCAGTGCCCACGTCAGCTCTTTCTACTTCAAACGCTTTTTAAAACTTTAAGTTACTTATAGGAGGTGGTGTGCGTAGTGCATGCAGAAGCCAGAGGACAGCCTGGTGACACCTTCCACCCCTAGGTTCTGGGCATAGAACTCAGGTCATCAGGCAGGACAGCAAGAGCCTTTACTCGAGACATCCAGCTACCTCCCCACTGCCCAAATATGTTATAAACAGTTGCCTTATGAATGAATTGACAGTGTCACAATGGACTGAAACTCCTTAAAGGGTGGTGAGGATTTTATTAGATACAAAATAGACACCAAAGTGAATGTGATCTCTGAGGCAGGGAGGCATGGGAAAAATAGAAACAAGAGGTATGTGCATAATAATTTATGTCAGTCCTGCTGCTAGAAATATTCCTCCTGTAATTCTTTTGCTTGTGCCTGGAATTAGTCTGCCTGTCTCTCTAAATATGATAATGAAGTAATTAACAGTGATGATGCTTCCATTGAAGAGTATTAGAGAAAACTTACAAATCATGTATCTGGTTCAGAGAAAATACTTAAGACAGAAATTACTCTGGGGCTGCCTTACACAGGGGAACTTGTCAAGTGTTTACCAGATGAATTTTAAGTCATTCGACTTCTTCTATAGAGGGTTAAGAAGGTGGTTGTGCAGTGTAAGGCCCTCAGGGGTTCTAAAAATGAGTGTTGATAGAGTGCCATTGCACCGCTGGTAGAATCCGAAGATTCCAGCCCTGGTCACAACGAGATGCCCATGTCAGTGTCATCAGCCTGCCATTTGCTGTAACAAAGCAGGAGACCTCTGCTCCTGTACGATTAAGCTGCCGCTTGATGCTCCAAGTCTGGTAAGTATTCATGCAGAATTCATAGCCATGGTTTCAGATTCCAAGCATGGATATTTTTTTGTGGAATTTGAACCAACACAATTATACTGTTGATTGACTCAATTTATTGAAAAGGAGACAATCTGCCAACCCCCTCAGCAAAGCTGTGATAAGAGGATCTGGAGAAGTGAAGTGTGTCCCTCAAGCCATTTTCTGCCAGCTTATGAAGGATTGCCTCTTCACAGCCTTTGTCCTCACAGAATTAAACCTCTCCAAGCGGAAGCAGCACTTAAGCTGAAAATGCTCACTATTTGTGCTGCGTTTGATGTTTCAGTGAAGGAGTTGTTCCAAGCCATCAAGACACTGGAAGAAAAATTAAGTTAAATGATCAAAACATTTGGGGCACACAAATAAATATGCATGTTGATTAGGAGCTTGTTGTGATGCACAGGGTTAATGGAACTAGAGATAATGTAGGAAAAAATGGAAGTGTTAGGAAAGCTATTAGGGGACTGGAGAGATGGGTCTGTGTGTAAGAGCATTTGCTGCTCCTTCAAAGATTTGACTTTCCATTTCCAGCAGATAAGAACTGTCTGTAACTCAAGTTCGAGAGGAGCTGACATTCCCCTCTGATCTCTGTGGGCATGTCATGCACCTGGTGCCCATACATACATGCAGTCAAAACACTCATGTAAAATAATAATCTTTTTTACAAGAGAAAACTTATGTCCTTGGCATGACAGGTTTTAAAGAACAGAGGGGCATGTTTGAAAAGGAACCAGTAATATAGAGATTAATTGGAGGCAATGTGTGAGCTGTAACTACTGTACAAACACAACTATTTTGGGGACGATTAGGCGGCTTTTCCAATACAGAGCTTAAATCGTGGGTCATAACTGAATATAGGGGTTAGGATTTCGGGTGAGTGACACCAGATCTCTTTGGTTTGGGTTTTATTTTATTTTAGTTGTTCATTTTGCATACCAACCGCAGTTCCCCTTCCCACCCCCCCCTTCCTGTTCCCTTCCCCACCTCCCCCCACCGCAACCCTCATCCACTCCTCAGAAAGGGTAAGTCCTCCCATGGGGAGTCAACAAAACCTGGCATACAGGCTGAAGCAAGACCAAGCTCCTCCCCCCTACATCAAGGTTGAGCAAGGCATCCCACCATAAGGAATGGGCTCCAAAAAGCCAGCTCATGAACCAGGGACCGATCCTGGTCCCAATGCCAGGGGCCCCACAAACAGACCAAACCATACAACTGTCCTCCACATGCAGAGAGAGCCTAGTTCTGTCCCCTGCAGGATCCCCAGCTCTCAGTCGGGAGTCCTGAGCTCCCACTACCTCAGGTCAGCTGGCTCTGTGGTTTCCCCATCATAATCTTGGCCCCTCTTGCTCATTCAATCCCTCCTCCCTCTCTTCAGCTGGACTCCCAGAGCTCAGCCCAGTGCTTGGCTGTGGATCTCTGCATCGGCCTCCATCAATTCCTGGATGAAGGTTCTATGATGTCACCAATATGATTATAGAAGATGATCAGTTCAGGCACCCTCTCTGCTATTGCTAAGAGTCTTAGCTAGGTTCATTCTTATGGGTTCCCGGGAGTTTCCCTGGCACCAGGTTTCTCCCTAACCCCATAATGGCTCCCTCTATCAAGATATCTCTTTTGTTGCCCCCCCCAACTTGACCATACCGTTCCCTCATGTTTTCATTCCCCATCCCCTCTCCTTCCCCAGTTTACCCAGGAGATCTTTTCTGTTTCCCCTTCCTAGGGTGATCCATGTGTCCCTCTGAGAATCCTCCTTGTTACCCGGCTTCTCTGGGGCTATGGATTGTAGCCTGGTTATCCGTTGTTTTACATCTGATATCCACTTATGAGTGAATACATACCATGTTTGTCTTTCTGGGCCTGGGCTACCTCATTCGGGGTAATTTTTTTTCTAGTTCCATCAATTTGCCTGAAAATTTCATGGTGTTATTGTTTTTGTTTTTTTTACCACTAAGTATCTATTTTTTTTACTTTTAAAATATATCTTGCTTTATATAAACAGATGTTTTTACCTGCCTGCATGTCTGTTGGGCTCCCTGGAACTAGGGTTATGGATGGTTGTCAGCCATCCTGTGGGTGCTGGGAATTGAATCTGGGTCCTCTGCTGGAACAAATGCTTAGCCTCTGAGTACTATCAATTATTTTTTAGTTGATCTTTTTGTTTTGTTTTGTTTTGTTGTTTTTTGAGGGATCATTTATTAGGGTGCTTTGCATGCTTTTTTATAATTCCTCAGATTAACTGCTAACATTTGATTTTTGATATGGAAAATTTTCAATGACTCCAATCCATATACAGAACTTCATAGGAATTGATAGGTGGTTCCGTTTATTCAGTAAACCCTGCTATGTGCTGTGTTGGACATAGAACTTTCATTGCACCACATTTTAGAAGCCAACATTCAAATCAAACAAGGATGTTGGGTTCTTTTTATTAATTTTTATTTAAATTAAAAATAATCTTATATTACATACCAATCCCAGTTCCCTCTCCGTCCCGTTCTCCTATTCCCCCCAACAACCCTCCATCCCACCCCCTATCCACTCCCGAGGGAGAGTGAGGCCTCCAATGGGGGATCATCAAAGTCTGTCACATCGTTTGGGTCAGGACCTAGGTCCTCCCCTGTGTATCTAGGCTGAGAGAGTATCCTTCCATAGGGAATAGGCTCCCAAAGCCCATTTGTGCACTATGGATAAATACTGGTTCCACTGCCAGAGATGCCAAAGACTGTCCTAGAACTTTCTCTGTAGACCAGGCTGGCCTTGAACTCACAGAGATCTGCCTGCCTCTGCCTCCCAAGTGCTGAGATTAAAGGTGTGTGTCACCACTGGCCTAGGTTTTTTTTGGTTGGTTGGTTGTTTTGGTTTTTTTTGTTGTTGTTTTGAGACAGAGTCTCATATATAGCAGCAAATGGTCTGGAGCTCATTATGTAGGCTGGCCCCCGGCCTGCAGCAATCTCCTGCCTCTGCCTTCCAAACGCTGAGGTCACCGGCCTGAGCCAGCATGCCCAGCCTTGAGTTTGTCTGTTAGGAAAATTATAACCTACCCTGAAATGACAAAATTCTAGCCCACGGCAGTAACTAACCAGCAGATCGGTGTGTAGTAGTCACACTATATACAGTGCTATACACAGTGTTGTGAAGAATACAAAAGTTTGTGTTTTTTAATTAAAATTTTTTAAATTTCTAGAACTAATTTCAAACTCACTTCAAATGGACAAAATAACATCAACAACAAAAAGCTTCATGTGCCTCTCATCCAGCTTCAACAGTGACCAAATTGGGGCCAATATTTCTCTTTTAAAAGACAGCATAAATTCAAGTTTCTGTCAGAAAACAATGAGTCATTGTTCGAATTTTAAGGTTTTATAATAACATGTGTTCTTCCAATATACTAAGCAGTATCTTTAAAAGCCATAAAAGTAACATCATCATCCAATATTTTATGGCTGAACAAAGTAAGGTTTAGGAATGTCAAAGCATCTTTCCATTTGCCTTCTCAAGAAGTAGAAAATCTGCAAAAACAGAAAACAGGAGTACTTGCAATGGTTTTGAAGGACATGAATGGTGGATTTGAAGGACTGTGAGTCTAATGTAACACACAGGAAAAAGACCTGATAGACAAATAAGACAATCCATAATAACAAGATTTCTCATGCTCTGTGATGCTTCCAAATTCAAAAGAAAGTCATCTCAAGAGCCCTTGAAGGAAGACTGCCAGAAACATCAAAAGCCCAGTTTCATTTGTATTTATACGGCTTGTGGTATACATTATGACTAACAGAGGGCAGCAATGTAGCAGCAACAGTAGAGTCTGAGCAACCCTGGCTCTGCCCAGTGACACCCAGCCTTCCTCACTGATGGCCAAATGTGTCAGCAGGCCTCTGACCGCCAAAGGTGAGGTTGGAAGCACCAAGGACGCAGGTGTCTCTAGGACACTGTTTCTCAGAGTATCTCCTTCCACCTTCGGTTTACTGTGGTTTGGAAGCTCTGTTAAAATGGTGGGTTTTGATGTCTCCGTGTGAATAAAGAATGTAAAATGCTCAGAAATATTGATTACATGTTAAAATAACAATATTTTTATTTAACTGGCGTCTCTCTCTCTCTCTCTCTCTCTCTCTCTCTCTCACACACACACACACACACACATACACACCTTGATGTGAAGCCTACATTGATTGCCTTGAATTCATCCAATGCTTATTAACAGCTATGAACCACACACAAGTCCCATGTTCCTTTTTTATTTTAAAAAAACTGTGGCTATTAGAACAATATCCATTTATATATGTGGCTTTTATCTGTCAGCACATTTGTGGCTATCACTTTATCTCTTTCAGTCATCTCTTCCCTGAAGACTACAGGTGGGGCTTGTTACTCAAGCTCGGCCACAGTTACTAGTTCACAGACTTACAACACACTTTTGTTCCTTTAGATGCCCAAGGAGACACAGAGGAGAGTCATTGCACTGTCTTGCTCCAAGCACATCCCTGGGGTAGACCGAATAGAGAGGGATTTACAGCAAATCAGAACGGAGAAGTGGCATCAAGATGATACTGATTCACGTGTGAAGCCATGCTTGCACGTGGGTCAACCTTTGCTCTGTGCAGTTGTAACATTGTTGCTTTGCATAAGAAATTTTGAGTGGGATCTCTGTCAGCCAAGCAACAAAAAGACCCTTAACTAACACACTTTGGCATTAGTGAAAAATAGCAAACAAATAATTAAAAACAAAGGTGAAGGGGCTGGGGATCTGTCTTGCCATGCAAGGTTGAGGACCTGAGTTCAGATCTCCAGCATTGTGCAAACACACCTCACTGTAGCAGCACACCTCTGGGATCCCAGTGTTGTCAAGACAGAGGCAGTTTACCTCCTGGAGAACCAAGAAAAATCAATGAATTCTAGGTTCAGTAAGAGGTTCCATCCCCCCAAAACAAGGTGGAGGACAACAGAAGAAGACATCCAATGCCACCCTCTGGCTTCCATGTACCCACGCATGCGTGTATGTGACCTACGCACACACATGAACGCGTGTACACACATGAAAGGGCAGAAGTAGCCAGGCGTTGGTGGCACACGCCTTTAATCCCAGCACTCAAGAGGCAGAGGCAGGCAGATCTCTGTGAGTTTGAGGCCAGCCTGGTCTGCAGAGCGAGTTCCAGGACAGCCAGGATTGACTGTCCTGGAACAGTCAGAAAGCTTGTCTCGAGGAAACAAAAGGAAAGCTTAGTAGTAAGGGTCCATTAACATATTTGGTGATAAGAAATTATTCTCTGTCTAGTTTCCCTGGCTTGGGATCAGCAGGAAGTATTTATCTCTCG